CTCCCTCCCCTCCCAGCCCCAGTCCTCCAAAAAAAAAATATTAAAAAAAGCCCCCCCCCTCCCTCATCAACAACTCCTAGTGACACCCTGGACGCGTCTATGCTGTCGGTATTGTAGCGTTCACGCAACACTGCACTCGACATTCGCAATGGACAGGTGCGCGACAAGTAATTTGGGTAGGACGATCAAAAACAGAAATTGTTTAAAACAGAAATAGCGGCAACTAACCGAGTGAAAAGTACCCAGTACGGACGTGTGTCATTATGAACGTAAGACCCAATAGGACAGCGGGGTGCATAACGTCCACGGCCCCGCAAAGTGGAATTTTCCTAAGCAAACCCCCCTCCCCCTCTCCAGGGCCGACCCCGCTAGACATAACATATTGCCGACCCCCCAAGATGAAATTATAGAAAAATTTACACCAAATAGTTTAAACGCCTTAACTTGGTGTAATTAGAAAAAGGGGACAAGGGTGCTCTTCTAAACTTCAAAACGAACTTCCACAGACAAGCAAGGCCCACCGACGAATAGAGATATTATTTACAAACAGTATTAACACACCGCTGATGGCTTTCTTATGTGCTAAAGTAAGTAAAATGGATTGGTACACAACACATTGCATCAGTGCACATCTCTGAACATCCATGTATCCCGGCGTGTTGGTGCGGCCCTAGAGATTTGGGGGGTCGTTTGAGTTTCAGACGCCGTGGTGGTATACCACGGTTATATGTTGGTGACGGTGTGCATGAAGTTTCTTTCAAACTAACCCTGGATTAGTTAGTGTGTGTGTGTGTTTTATTTTAAAATGAAAAATATTTTTTTTCTTCACAACACATGTCTTCTTAACATTACCCACCCATCAACAAACAAGGTATAAATAAATTTAATAGATTATTTTTTCACGTTTTCCGTTGTGCATAAATACGTGGTCGAATATCCGATTATCAACGACCGAGCTCGATACCTAGTAATTTGTCTGCCAACGTCAAAATATAATATAATATAATATAATATAATATAATATAATATAATATAATATAATATAATGAAATGACAGATTTACAGTTCTTAACAACCCCCACCCCACAACCAATTGAGGAAAAAAAAAAGTATTTGCTGAAACCCCTTTGTTGATACTAGGTTGCGTTTAGAATCATCTAGCTGCTCAACTCGGGATGTCTCATCCGTGACTGTTTGATAAACGAAAATGTAGTTACGATAGTAAGACGGGTAATTAATAATCACAAGTTTAATAAACGGTTAATGTATTTAACTATAATGTTTGAGATTTTTTTTTCCACGGTTCCACCTTCTCCGAGTAATTTAGTCAGATTAAAAAGAGTGATCACTGGCGTTGTATTATAATTATCTGGCTTGCATGTGCTCCTGTTTAGTCGGGTATCAATCAATTATTTTATATTTATTTTATTCTGTTTATTTATTATTAAATTATACGTCATATATGGATTGTATCAATAAAAGAGCTGCCGTCTTTGTGCATGCGTTAGTTTAAGACGTTCGTGTATAGAAGGACTGAACTTTGTCTATACATTAGTGAATAGTTATTGGAGAAACTATAACTAGGAAATTTGCAAGGGACCAGCATATGTTGTTGTTGTTTCTTTAAATTAAAATTAACTTAACTTAAAGTTTTAATTGAAAAAAAAAAGGATTTTATGTCACAGTACAAGCTGTATAATTATCAATGTTTATAATAATTCCTGCTTACTTGCTTAGTTAAAGTCTCAAAATAAATTTAGTAAAAAAAAAAATTAAAAAAAAAAAAAACAGATGAAATGCATAATTTGTTTTTTATACTTGAGAAATTTCATTCAATTTTTTTTTTAAATCAGATTTTTATCAGAGTGGTGAAACTCTTCACTGGTTTTAACCAAAGCACCATGTCACCTAATGTTAAGTTTAAACCAGAGCATTGTGTCAAATTATCAGGTTTAAAGAAGAGAACTGTGTAATCTAATCAGGTTAAAAGCAGATCGTTGTGTCACCTTATCAGGTTAAAACCAGATCGGTGTGTCACAAAAGAAGGCTGAACCAGAGTGTTTTATCCTCTAATCAGGTTGAAACCTTAGCATTGTGTCATCTAATCAGGTTGAAACCTTAGCATTGTGTCATCTAATCAGGTTGAAGCCTTAGCATTGTGTCATCTAATCAGGTTGAAGCCTTAGCATTGTGTCATCTAATCAGGTTGAAGCCTTAGCATTGTGTCATCTAATCAGGTTGAAGCCTTAGCATTGTGTCATCTAATCAGGTTGAAGCCTTAGCATTGTGTCATCTAATCAGGTTGAAGCCTTAGCATTGTGTCATCTAATCAGGTTGAAGCCTTAGCATTGTGTCATCTAATCAGGTTGAAGCCTTAGCATTGTGTCATCTAATCAGGTTGAAGCCTTAGCATTGTGTCATCTAATCAGGTTGAAGCCTTAGCATTGTGTCATCTAATCAGGTTGAAGCCTTAGCATTGTGTCATCTAATCAGGTTGAAGCCTTAGCATTGTGTCATCTAATCAGGTTGAAGCCTTAGCATTGTGTCATCTAATCAGGTTGAAGCCTTAGCATTGTGTCATCTAATCAGGTTGAAGCCTTAGCATTGTGTCATCTAATCAGGTTGAAGCCTTAGCATTGTGTCATCTAATCAGGTTGAAGCCTTAGCATTGTGTCATCTAATCAGGTTGAAGCCTTAGCATTGTGTCATCTAATCAGGTTGAAGCCTTAGCATTGTGTCATCTAATCAGGTTGAAGCCTTAGCATTGTGTCATCTAATCAGGTTGAAACCTTAGCATTGTGTCATCTAATCAGGTTGAAGCCTTAGCATTGTGTCATCTAATCAGGTTGAAACCTTAGCATTGTGTCATGTAATCAGA